AGCAGCAGCAGCAGCAGCAGCAGCAGCAGCAGCTCCGGCAGCCTGGAAGACCGCTTGCTACTCGGGCACCCCACACTTACTGGTCACTTGAATGCATTTACTGCTTCCCAGCCCAGCCCAGCCCTGCCCTGCCCTGCCCTGCCCTGCCCTCCACTGGACTTTATGCAGAGCTGTAATGGGAGACCTGAGGCCCTTCAGATATTGTTTAACCGAGAACCCCAACCAACATGGGCAATCTTGAGGAATGCTGAGAAAATAATTCATATACAGTCTCTCCTTTCTCACTCCATGTCATAGTTAATTGCCCACCTAAGCAGTGGAAGGTGCAAAAAAGGTAATTTTAATTAAAGTTCTGGTGACATGGATTGATATTCGTCCCCCCCCCGGGGGAAAAACCCCTACAGAACACTGGGCATTACAGGGGCTTATTCAACTGAGGCAGCTCCTTGGGGGCATCGAAATGCCCACAGCCACCTACAAAATCTCCTGTTTCATTACACATTAAACAGCAGAGAACTTTGCACCACAATCTTGCAAGCATGGAGCTGTGAGCTCAGAGAAAGTCACTGCAAAAGTAGGTCAAGCATTCCATAGTACCGCTTCTGGTTTGAAGGCAAAAAGGGCTTTAGCTCACACAGGGTTGCAAACATAGAACCCCCCCCCGCCAAAAGCAGATGCAGCAGCTTCAAGTGGCTGCTCTCTGCAGCTGTATCACAAACCAGGGAAAAGGTGCATTTGGCTAAAGGTTTCCAGACAGGTGCTAAAGAGGCGCTACGAAGCTCCTCTGTGCCTTCAAATATGAAGTGCTTGCATAGCCTTTTGCTGAAGGTCAGGGCACTGCAACCCGTAACTTTGCACGATATAATCCAGAGCAGCCTGCACAAGAGACCGCCAAGGAGGTATGGGGAGCCTCTATTTGCTGGGGTCCAGATTTTGCCTACTCCCTCGAGGATCCTCTCTCCTACCAGAAAGAGCAGTTGGTAAAAGCTCTTCTGTGCTTCGCATGCAGCTCTTCCTAGCTGAGAAGAGTTTCTGAGCAGGATAGCAATGAGCCCCTCCAAACATTCCAGTGAGAGAAAGGGGAGCCTGGGTCCCTGCATGATGGCTGCTTGAAATTCCCACCAAAGCCCTTATCACTGAAGAAAGAGGTTTTGGTCCACAACACCATCTTCAAAGAAGGGAGATGGGACTGGAAAGCAGAAACTGGCTTTAATCATTCAGGGCTGAGGGACACTAATATTAACAGAAAGTACAGCTCTGAGCAGCAGAGACTCCATGCCATGTTCTCCCCAGGGAAGTATGTCCGGGCAGAAAACTCCCTACCTCCTTACTGAAAAGCAGAAGGCTCAGATACATACTGTATATTCTTACACAAGTTCCAAGCAAGCTTTACACATCCACCAATAAGCACAGCTATTCATAAATCCTCACCTTTCATGCAGAAACCAAAGACCAACAGAACTTGTCACTGCTGCCTGACAAGGGGTGGAATGGGATGGTGTGATGGGCAACACTGGAGAAGTAGGGGAGTTCAGAAAGAGAAAAAAAGCTGGTTCAGAAGAAACAGTGTAAAAATAAATGTCATTTTTGCAGAGGAGAGAGAAAAAATGGAAAATGCCAGACTCCCCTACTGGCGGACCTTCCCTGGGACATAATTCCTATCGATAGTTTCTTCTTGCAGGAACATATGTAAGCAGCGCTCGTTCTGTGCCAGCGGGTGTCCAGCAATTCTGTGAGGAAAAAGGGAGAAAGGGCAGGGGGATTAAATGGTCCAACAGCTACCTGCTGGCTGATGTTATGCAAGAAAGGACGATCACGATGTATGCATAACGCAATCATGGCCTGCACAGATTTAATTGCCGTAGTTGCTTTTTATTCTGGCAAGGCTCTGGAAGAATCAGCAGAATAAGAGTTTGTTTAGGGGTCTAGACCCCCCCCCCCTTGTCCCTGGACTCTTTTGGGAAAGCAAATGAGCAAGAAGCTAGTTTATATGAAATGTAGATAATAGGCAGAGCTGCTGGCAATGGCAGAGGAGGGATAGTCCAACTTTAAGAGAAGCACGCCAAGCAACAGCATTCAGTTCTCGTGCGGACCGGTAATATACATTCCCTGATGGGCAAGCACTTTTCAAGTAATACGGTGCAGTCTGCCTATACCGTGAGACTAATGTCCGCATCCTGCCTTCATGGCAGCATACAGAATATTCCTTCCTCCTGTTTTTCCCAGAATTGGATAAAGTAGGTTGCCATAAGAGTCACTGACTGGACCCAAGTGGACCAATCAGTTTCCACAGTTGAGGATGACTTGAATTCAGGCCTCACCTGACACCAATCCAATAATTTAACCGCTGACACGTTCTGCTCAATTAACGGAACTACAATTTAAAACAGTGTCTACCCAAAGAGGTTAGACTCACCTAACCCACTAAGCCGAAACATGAGCCAGTTAATTCAAGGGCACTCCTGCCTCTGGCATGACGCAGCCCCTCTTTCCCAGAGTTCAGCTTCTCGAAACAGCAGAGGACCCCCTCAAGCCTTACTTGTTTATGAACTGTTCTAAGCCTTGTCTTCTTTCTTCTATGAATGACTCCTCAAAGATGCCCTCGTCTCCCCGGAAAGGAAGCTGGCGCTTCAAGGCTTTGCCTGGCAGCGGCGGTACTACAATCTGGAAGCCGAGAGGGTTGGTTTAGCAGGGCGGAGAGCCGCTCGCTCGCCTGCTCAGAGACGCCCTGCCCTGCTTTCATCCGGCACCTCCGGACGCACAGCGCGATGCCAGCCGGCACCGCAGAAGCCCCCGCTAGCCAGGCAGCCCAAGCCTCGCTGCCCAACAGCGGGCGTCGGGACGGCCGCGGACGAGGCCGCCCGCCCCATCCTCGCGCTCACCTTGCTGTCGCGCTCCAGCTCGTTCTTCAGCCATTCAAAGTCACTATATCGCCGCCTCACGCAGGACTCCTTCAGCTTGAAGATGGGCAGGTTTGTCTGGGCAGGAACGAGAGACGGTCAGGCGGCCGCTGGGGCAGCCCCTCCCGTCGTTCCCCGAGAGCGGGAGAGCGACCCGTCCTTTTGGCAGGCAGGCAGGCAGGCCGCCCCCCCCCAGCCCCAAGCCCGCCCCCCCCCGTCCCGATCGCGATGGGGGAGGCTACTCCACAGGGCGGCAAACCTGAAAGCCCCCCAGCAGGGCCGCCCGCCTTTGCTGTGCGCCGAGGCGGACGCCCCTCCGGCCGGGAGAAGGAAAGCACGTGGACCGGGGGGCTCGCTTAGAGGCAGGCGGGC